CTGCCTGTTTGTCCTTCTGTTTGTCCGTTAATAGGTCTCTCTGTCCCCTTGGTGAACATCTATGTAGTCGCTGAAGTTCACGTGCACAACAAACACAGTCATCAGAGTTGTAGAGTTACAGTTAGTTCATGTTGTCTTCTGATAGACAACAATGTACTCATTCAGTAACTGCAAACATAAGATTTCTTTTTGTAGGCACCTTGTCAACAGAGGTTCCTCATGTACACCTTGTTATCCACTTCATCGGTACAATAAAGTCTCAGGGACCCAATAATAAGGAAGTTTTAGTCATATTAATACAAAAAGGTTGATTCCTGCAATGGACATATGAGTAAATGCTGGTTATCAACAGACACATGAGCTACAGCATATGTCAGGAACATGAATAAATAACATGCAAAACATGATGATGGAAACGTTTCCCCTCAACTGTGATCTGACCTTTAACTGAAGCCTATTGTTAGAACTTGATCTGATGCTAAAAGTGTCAAACTGCTTCGGTGAAATATTACAATTCAGCAGAATCACTAATGTCTAAAAAAAATGTGCCTGACATTTTAAACTTTCTCAATTAGGTACAATTGAGGGATTTTTTAACAGCATATTTGAAAAGAGCCTAAAAGGAGGGCTAAACAGAACATTGTGTCCAAAGCAATTCATCACTCAGGGCAGAATCCTCTGTGGGGTGGAACATATGCAACCTATGGTCTCAGACATTCAGTCTGAGAATGAATTCGAATAACTCAGGTCACACCCTGACTTTTTTTTTTTCCAGCACCACCAGAAGGTTCAGATATCTGAAATGTCTCAACAGCTATTTGACAGATTATTATAAAATATGAAACAGACATCGAGTTCTTCCTCATGATGATATATAAAGGATCTGATTGGTGATTCCCTCACTGTTCATCACATCAAGATTAGTATTTGTTACTGGAAATGAAGTTATTAATAGTTAATAAAGTTCAGGAATTTTAAAGGACAAGGCAGGGTGTGATATGTAGTCTGGGCCTCCTGAAGCTGGCCTCTGTCATTCAACTTCAACCCCTCCGGGAACAACAAATCCACCTTTCTTGTTTTGTGGCATTTAGTGGGGTTTTAAGTTGTGCTGAATTCTTTTAGTGCATGTCTGTGTGTGACTGGAATCAGTATCATTCTACTGGACTGGAAGAAGAGGGATGAAAAATGTTAAATAAAAGTTATTACTAAACAAGCAAATATACAAAAAGAAAAAAAAACATAAATATAAAATATGTACTGTATATAATATATATTTATAATACATAAATATGAATAATATTTAAAACAACAACAACAACAAAAGAACAAGTTTATTGAAATGTCAGCCCTTCTCCTCAGTCTTCATGACCAAAATAGATAAAAAGCAGTTTGGTTATCTAACTGGATTGTCAGCATTAGAAAAAGTTAATTGACAATATGAATGCTGTCATCTCTTTTCTGCAAATACATTATTAACCAGATACAAGTGTTGGTCATCTTTTTATTTATTATTTTTTACAAGTTGTGGAGTAATTTAAAAAAAAAAATCTATTATTACTGATTTAAATCAAGCTGTTTCAAGCTGTCTTGGAGATAACAGGACATCTCCTACCTTCCAAAGGGGTTTATAACAGTCACAAGCTGTGAGCTCTGAGGATGTTCACACCTCTGGAGAAGAGGAGATTTCCCTAACCCTAACCCTTCACCTTGACCTGATGACCTTCTTTTCACCCTAACAACCAAAGGTTTCTGTAGAAAAAAAGAACTAATCAGTTTTAAAATTTAAAATGAAGGAATTCCAACATCAGTAACAGTATTGATGAATGTGTTTTCCTAAAACATCATTCAGACCAGCGAACTGTTTCCTCTGGTAAACAAATCAACACTGCATTGCACTGACAGCTGCAATTAACAAGAAGTAAGACAAATTCTTGCTTGACTCTTAACATAACCAAAATAGTTTGTGTGTATTTCACAATAAGGACAATAACTCAGTTAAAACTGACAGCTGCAGTCAGTCAAATTCTTGACACTCTATTTAATGATCAAGTTGTCACACCTGTGACAGAAATTTAAATATCTAAGCATTTTAGTTTACAGAAAATTCGTCTCTCAGACAACAAGTCAGTAGGTCATCAGGAAAATTTAATTTTACTAATTTTAAAATTAAACAAATAAGGGTGTATTGACAGCAAGGCTGATGGTGAGTTTTAATCCATGAATAGATTCATGCTTTTTCTTTACCAACAGCAAAGTAATCATTTCCTCACCATGAGTATAACACTCGTAACATGCAACTTGCCACCGAGGCCGACAGCTACTGGAATGTGAAAGCATCAAGGTGCTCAATTAAAGAGAACTGATTTTTATGCTGACCTTATTATAAATGGGCTGTGGATTATGAATGTCTGTCACATGGGTACAAACAGGTGTAGGACCGAAGGATGCATGGCTCTTCACAGGAGTAAAAGTCCAAACAAGTCATTGTACACTGAAGCTTAATAGTCAGACAGAGGTATCCAGAATGCATGGGATGGTCAAAACATGCATTGTCAAAATACACACACTAAGCACTACGGATCACAAAAAGAGGCTTGGACACGGCCACAGAGGCACAAGATGAACTGGCGAGGAAAATGAGGAAAGGGGTGAGTATATATATATAATTTGGGGCAGGTGAGACAATGACACACTGGTGGAGTACATTATGTCTGGGCAGTGATCACACAGGTGGGAAAGCGAAGACTGGGGAGTGTCAAGGTACCTGAAACAAGACAGAGGGTGCATATGGACACAAACAGGAAGTTGCAAAAATAAAACAGGTAAAAAAGAAAACACAAGAGTGGGAGCTGGATGTGACAGCACCCCCTCTCCTAGACCCACACCAGACGGCCCAAGTTTAGGGTGGAGATGGTGGTGTTGTCCAAAATAAATCCAAAGTATCAAAGTGCAAAAATTCAACAAGGAAAAAAAGTCAAAGGGGCATGAGGAACATGAGGAAAGCAAACAGGCAGCCAAATATTAGATGAATGAACATGGTACAAAAATCTAAAATCTCAAACCAGAAGCAGATCAGGCAGGTCAGGCAGGCACAGTCACAGACAGGAGACATAACAGAACAAACTGGCAAATACAGAGGGAAAGACTGTTTGGGAAGCCAAGACATCGGTGACTCACGAGACACAAGTGAACCTCATAACAGCAATCAAAACAGAAGGGAAACAGACAAAAGTTGGAAGTTAAAACACAAATCAAAACTAAGAAGTCTAAAACAAACGGATAACTAAAACAAATGGACACAATCTGGAAGGTGGCCTGAAAGTGGTCCTGATAAGCTGGACCATTCCAGAAGATGGCTCAAAGGCCAGGATTCTGGTGTTGGCAAAGGCGAAGCCCCACTGGAGGCTGGACGCTGGAGCAGGGGTGACGTCAGCTTACACAGCAACAGGGTCTGGAGCGGGGGTTATGCCAGCAGACTCACAATCAGTCTTTGATCACTGCAGGGTCCTGGACTTGACATTGGTTGATCCAGGTACACTGTCTAAAACTGAAAAGATGGAGGTCCTCGCAGACACAGGAACTGAAGAGATAAAATTACGTAGCACAAGAGCTGTTTATTTAAAATCACTGATTATAAGGAATTCTTAGAAATCTTTTTTTTAAATGCTCTTAAGTGGCTCTTGATTGAGTTGCTTCAAAAGTTTATACATTTTTGACAAAAAAACATGATTAAAAACTGAAAACTTCACCTGGTGAGGCCTTACAGAGAGAAATAAAATAACATGCAAATATAAACTGACCAGCTTAACAGATCAATCATGTGTTGTATATCTAAAAAAAAAAAAAAAAGATTACCTTTGAGCCTGTATTTTTCAAATAGATTGTTTTGGATTTGAACTTTTCTTTCTCACAAAAAATAAATGTCTCAGTTAAAGTTAGTTAGTAGGAAATAACTCTTTGTACATTGTGAGTGTCTGTAATGTAAGGTAGGCTTCAGGAACTGAACAAATCAAAGAACAGAGCTTTAACCCCACTTAGTGGTCAAACTGAATTACAGCAACACAAGCAGGAGAGACCTAAGCAAAGAAGACAAGATTAAGATAACATAATTTCAGTTTGAGTTCAAATTCTGACAAAAAAATAACTTAGACAAGTAAAACTTTTACCCTGCATTTATCCTAAGTCAACTGGGATAGGCTCCAGTCATCAATAACCATGTGCACCACTGCCTAATAATACTTGATGCTTAGACAAATTTACCCAAATTTGATATAAGACTAATGGTCCTTTTACACAGAGTGCACTTACGGCATCAGTGCACTCTGAAACCTTTTCATTTTAATGGCTTGCATTGCTCCTCAACAGTTTGCCACTGTGCTGAGCAGAACTCACCAGTGCAACGCACCAGTTGGTGAACTTGCCAACCTCAGGCGCCACTTTGCCTAGAAAAGGGGGTGGAGGAGGTGAGCTCATCTACGAGCATCTGGTGGCCGAGCTTTGCCCTGTGGGACTTGGTCGGGTCCAGCCCCGAGTGGCAACAGTGGGCCTGCTACCTGAAGGACTAGAAATTGGGGTCGGGTGCTATGCACACCGGGCAGTGGACAGGACCGTGCATTACATATATGTCCTTCAAATTCTTTTCTAACACAAGAAAAGATTGACCTCACTTCAGTAAATTAGCAAAATGTGAAAGTAATGTCTCTAACTGACTGTGTCTATTTGCATCATGAATTCACACAGAGAATAACTTGTCAAGGGCATCTTACTGTGAGACTTCACAACGATGGAAAAGGAAACAGGAAGTTGAGTGATCAGATAAAAGATGAATAAATTAAGGTGCAGCAGTAATCAGAACCCACATTAAACAGTCTGAACTATGCAGTGTTTTGGCAGAGTGCCCTTTCTTAGGTTTCCTGATAGGTTGATACGGATCAAAATGTGATGTCATAGAAGTTTGTACATCACCTGGAACAAACCGAACTACTGTCACTGTGCACATATTGTCTGTGGAGGAACAGAGGGATTCTGACCAACGTACAGATCTACCAACATGCTCAGGTAATTACTACTAAATTAAATTAGATGAAATGAAGTTTGATTGTTCCATAATTCTGTCAAATGTATTACTTGTGCAGATAGCTGGATACAAGTTTAATGCTGACAACCTTTACTCTCTTTTGTTTATCCATTCACAAAAAAAATTTAAATTAAAAAAGGTTGTCAAAAGTCACATTGCTTATTAAAACACATTGTTCCTGCTTAATGTCGTATTTGCATAAAGGCAGATAACAGTATTTGTATTGTCAGTCAGCTTGATCATATTAAATAACATTTAAATAATATTTTTTCATGTTAAATGACAGTACAGAAGGGCCCTACTACTGGGGACGGAACTAAATTCCAAACAGACACAGATACATGAACAACAGGAATGTACCACATCGTAAACTGAATGTCACAAAACAAGAAACAGGTTTTTTTTTTCTTACAGGACAAGATCAGGTAAGCTGACAATTAGTGACGCAGAACGAAACCTAACAAGAAATTATTTGCCAATACCTGCACCGTGGGTGGTTTTATGGGAAACTGTCAATGTTTTTTGCTGTCACACTAGAGAGAGAAAAAGTCAGGGTGGGATCTGAGTTATTAGGATTCACTGTCAGACTGAAAGTCTGGTTAGAATACTTAAGTTTTACACCACACAAGATTCTGCTTTGATGATAAATTGCTCTTCACACAGATTGCTGTCTATTCCCTCCTTTTAGGCTCATTTCAAAGATGACGTTAAAAACAAATCCCCAAATATAACTGAATGAGAGTACCTTTATTTACTCAGAATCAGAATCAGCTTTAATGGCCAAGTATGTACACAACATACAAGGAATTTGGTTTCGGCTGTTGGTGCCCCCCTAGGAAGGAGCAGGAATAATAGAAAATAGAAAACAAAAAATGAAGTAAAATAACTATAGAAAGAAAAGAATAAAAATAAAATAAATAATAATAATAATAATAAAAAAATAAGATAAACATATAAAAGAATTTACACATCTGAGCAGAAAACATGTACATTGGTGCAAAATATCAGTGAAAATAACAATTTTGGCTGAGAATGGCTCAGCTGTTCAGTAGAGTTATGGCAGTGGGATAAAAACTGTTTTTATGTCTGATGGTTTTAGTATGCAGGACTCTGTATCACCTGCCGGAGGGGAAGAGGGAGAACAGTTTATGACTAGGATGAGTGGGGTCTGTGATGATGTTCCCTGCCCTCTTCCTGGTTCTATTGGAGTACAGTTCCTGGATGGAGGGCAGGGAGGCTCCAATGATCTTCTCAGCTGTTCTGACTGTTCACTCCTGCAGTGTGGCTGCTCCAAACCACACAGTGACAAAGCTGCACAGGACAGCTTCGATGACAGCGGTGTAGAACTGAATCAACAGCTCCTGTGGCAGACTGTGTCTCCTCAGCTGTCACAGGAAGTACATCCTCTGCTGTGCCTTTTTGAGGATGCAGCGGATGTTCTCTCGCTTCAGGTCCTGAGTGATTGTAGTCCCCAGGAGCTTGAGAGACTGAAATCCCCTAATGACTTTGGTCCTGTAGCAGTCACTTCCTTGGTTATGAAAACCTTTGAGAAAATCATGGAAAAAAATAAATAAATAAAAAAAACTGTGGGGGAGGCCAAGGTTTATTTGGATCCACTACAGTTTGCTTACAGGTCAGACAGTGGTGTTGAGGGCGCCATATGCAGTCTACCTATCATGGTCGTGGGACATCTGGAGGGAGCAAAAAGGCTGCCTTTTGTGACTTCTCCTCAGAGTTTAACTGTATCCATCCTCACATTTTAGTAGAAAGTCTTAACAGCTTTTTTAATATTGACCCTGGACTAATGTCATGGCTGACTTTTTAACTGACAAAGCTCAGAAAGTGAGAGAGAAGGGAGAATGAATTTATCGGATGCGCTTTTATCGTCCACTGGTCCCCCCAGAAGTTTGTCCTCTCACCTCTTTTATTTGTTTATATTGAAATGGGCGTCAGAGTCATCTTGAGGACAGACACATTGTAGGGCTGCAGGGTGTTCATTGTTCTCTTATGTATTGTTTGTCCATTCTCCATCTTTGATTCTGCAATATTTTGCTATTAAATTCATTTTTTATTTTCCTTTTAGCCACTGCAGCATTCTAAGGAAGAAAATCTTCATCACGAGGCTCTTGGTGTTGGGAGTTCTTGTTGTTGTTGTTAATCTTTGGTTTCCTGGAGATTTGACCAAAAACAAACACATCCTCCTTCAAGAAGATGTGAGAAAGTCTCTCATCCAACCAAAGCCAACAACCACAAGTTCTACTTATAAATACTCCTGGCCAAAATGTCGTAAAAACATATCTGCTGCCAGAGTCCCCGGCTTCAACTCACTTCCTCGTCATATACAAGACTTTCTGTACCATCGCCACTGTCGACATTTTCCCATGATACTAGATGTTCCTGACAAATGTGGAGGAGCTGAAGGATCTGCAGAAGTCTTTCTTCTACTGGTCATTAAAAGCTCTCCTGGGAACTACAACCGTCGAGAGGTGCTGCGTAAAACCTGGGCTAAAGAGAGATTGCAGAATGGTGTGTGGATCCGAAGGATCTTCATCTCAGGAACGACAGGTGATGGTTTTGAGAAAAAGAGACTCAACAACCTCCTTGAAGTTGAGCAACATGAGAACAATGACATCCTCCAATGGGACTTTATTGACACACATTACAACCTCACATTGAAACAAGTTCTCTTCCTGGAATGGATGGACGTAAACTGTCCACATGTTCGCTTCCTGATGAACGGTGATGATGATGTTTTTGCTCACACAGACAACATGATTGACTATCTAAAAGCCCTGACGGACAATGATGGACAAAGGCACCTCTTTACTGGAAATTTGATGGTGAATTTTGGGCCCATTCGATCACCAGACAGTAAATATTATGTTCCAGTTCAGGTGTATGAGTCAGAGTCATATCCTGATTTCTGTAGTGGTGGAGGCTTCCTGTTGTCTGGCTACACAGCTCATGTCATATACAACATGTCCCAGTCCATCACCCTTCTTCCCATGGATGATGTTTACATTGCAATGTGTGTGGACAAAGCAGGACTTCGTCCTGAATCCCACATGGGAGTGAAGGCTTTTGGACATCGCAGTCCCTCCAATAACGACCCATTAGACCCTTGTTATTTTAGCGAAATTCTTCTTGCTCACAGATTCCTTCCAACTGATTTGTATATTATGTGGCAGAGCTTGCAAGACCCAAGTCTGACATGCTTTGACAACAACAAAGAGTAACAATTCATTTAAGACTTTGTGCATGTGGAACTAGAAATGTCAAACATTTAAATGAAAGCAAAGACTCTTGTAAACCTAAAAACTTTCATCTGATTAATAAGTTTGAGGAGTTCTTTGATTCTGCAAATTATCCAGGGTTTTATTGTTTATATTTTGGTTCCCAGCATTGGTTGACAACAATGACAGCATTTTAATTTTCTTTCTTTTAAATTATTTTTTTTGATGGAATTAATGCAACCATGTACCTTAAATGCTGACTTTGGGTGACCATTTAGGAGGTGTAACAGATTTAGTGTAGCCTTCATCTCATGGCCTATGGACTTCCTAATGCAGTAAAAATGTAAGACAAAATTGTAACACATGTTCACAGAATAAAAGATAAAAAATCGAAACAAAACAAAAACATATCTTTGCTTTGTCAGAAACATTTTTGGTCGGACAAAGTATGACATTGTGAATTTGCAGATTATTAAAGATTATTAAATGTACTCAACATGTTCTTGAACATCACGTATTTGTCATTTCTGCTGCAAAGACAGACATATTAAGGTCTGTGTTGTTGTGGGGTGGAATTTTGAGACAGCCCTCATACTTGTAGTGGACTGTAGTGGACTTCATTTTTTACAGTAGAAACTGTTGATGAAAGTTTGTGGCACAACTTTAAAAGAAACCCTAATGTTGCTGAAGAGGAAACATTTCAAAAGCGTTTCTTTTTCTGATTGATTTTTCTTGACAGCTCTTGAGGTTTCTGTTGACATCAATCTATCATTGTGGTTTTGAATTCCCTTGGAAACTGGACATACAAGTTAGTGTTTCTTACGTTCCTTACAACAGAGAAGAATTTGAAAAACACATCCTGGGTACATTGTTCTTGTGTGACGTCGGCAGTCAGTTAAGAATAGTAGTTTGCTTTGTCAAACCTAAAGCCTGGGTGGCTCAGAAATCCAGAGAAGGTAAAGGTTGTTGATGTCATGTCATGTGTGTTTGAAATACACGTGAAAACTTACATTAAATGGCCAAATATGGTGGGAATCAGTTTTTATTGTTTGTTTATTTGTTTGTTTTCTTTACAAACTTCCATCCATCCATTATCTATACACCACTTAATCCTCACTAGGGTCACGGGGGGGTTGGAGTCTATCCCAGCTGACTTAGGGCGAAGGCAGGGGACACCCTGGACAGGTCACCAGTCTATCGCAGGGCTACACTTATAGACAGACATTCACACCTACGGACAATTTAGAATCACCAATTAACCTCCACATGTTTTTCTTACTATGTGGGAGGAAGCCGGAGAACCCAGAGAGAACTCACGCTGCACGGGGAGAACATGGAGACTCCATGTAGAAAGATCCTGGGTGTCCTCACTGTACTTCAGCCCTCCTCAACTACAGAGCCTCCCAACTTTACAAGCAAATAAAAATTCTCCTGAGCCTCTTCTTATCAACTGAGGATCCAACAGTCATCTAGTATAAACTTGGTATAATTGTGTCTCCTCACTGCCTGCAGGTAAATTAAGAATGAGCAGCTAATGCTAGTCCACCAGGTTTAGTTACTTTCTAGAGCTGCTTCTGCTAACACTAAAATATCTCAGCTTTGAGCAAAACACACATTCTGCTGTTGGCTGCGAGAGTGAACACAAGAGTCTTCATGCACTTCCAGAAGCTGAGGAACTGAAGATCCAGTGAATTACCTACTTTTTCATAGTATTGTTACTACAACAATAGAAAAATCCTTTGGCGTTAGTGAGTTGTGTGGCTAATGCTTTTATTAACATTGATCATACGCTCACAGGTCAGAGCTTTGTGGAAACTGCAAAGCTGAGGGACATTCAGAGATGCTGGAAACTTTAAGACGAACCTCAAACCAGTAAACATGGATTATGTTGGTTACTGTGTTTTCATGTCACCTCGAGCTTGTACTGTGAAGCAAGTTCAACATTCCCAGGGTATGTTTTCATGACTTGGCTTCACTAAACCTAACAACCACAGTCTGTAAAAGTGGTCTGATGATGCTGGTTATCAAGTTGGTAAGTCAACACAGGTTTTCTCAAACAAGCTATGAATGTTCACATAAGAGGGGCGGTGTTGGCATCAGGTGACCAGCTGCAAACACATCTCTTGGCACCAGAGTGGCATACTTCACCAACAAGAGCAAACTATTATCTTAGAAAAAACAACCTTTTTAAATGTTTAATTGAGGCTAAAAGCACAACAGTTGCAGTTGTCAAAGCCAGGAAAGAGAGAAAACTTGATGACCGTGATAACACTTATCAGGGCTTATGAGTATCACTGCTCCATCATCAGGACACAATGAGGTCTGACGAGAATTACAATCACATATTGTATTAAATCAGTGTGTTACTTAAATGTGTTCTTATGGCGAGTAAGACAGCCTTTTTCTTACAGCTGCAACTCTGGTGCTGTTAAACAGTCTGGGAAGTGAGTAGAGAACAAATAAAGCATAATTTTAAGTGGTAAGTAGGCTGATTTCATATTGTACAGGTATACTACAAGTAATACTGGACAACTTTAGTGCTTCAACCAGTGTGTTGTTGGATGTAATCAATATACAAAACCACATTGAATGGTCTTTAACGGTACTAGTAGCAAACAGAAATATAAACAAAATCAACAAAAAGAAGATATCAGTCCACATTTGTACAGGATTTGTACAGGTGCTAATGAATTACCATTAACAAAGACTAGGTTACCAGTGTTACATTTGCATATTTCTTCAAGTGAACCTTGCAAAGGGCAAATGCCTACATGTTAAATGTGCTTCTTCTGCTTTTCGTTTGTCTTTTTTGTCGTTTGAGCAGACGTTGTGAGGTTTTTGTAAAAGAGAACATTACAATTTAACATCATGGACACGACACTCGATATTCAAAACAAATAACTTTTGATTTAGAAAGTGAAATTAGCTGTGGAGAATTCTTTTCCAGACATGGGTAAACAACTAACTAAATGAAGGAAACAAAGTGTGTGTTCTTTGTGGGTTTTTTGTTGTTTTTTTTTTTTTAGCAAAAGAATGATTGCGTGATGGCCTCATGACACAACAACAAAGCTGATCATCAACCTTTGGCCTAAGGTGCTCTGGTACTAAACGCACTTGTGAGCTACTTTATGTTCTAACATGGTGTTTGTTATAGCCACTCCATGACTAGCACAGAAGTCCAATAACAAAACTCCTCTTGGGTTCAGATCGGGCAGGTCGTTCCTCCCAATCATCCCCCTCTAGGTTTCTCCGTCATTGCCCATGTGAGCGTTGAAGTCACCCAGGAGAACTATGGAATTCCCAGGTGCCCCAAGGTAGGGGAGTCCGGGGTTCCGTGGAGGCGTGCTTGAGGGGAATTCGGTGTCAGTGCTCATGAATCCACATCTTGTGAGGCCGAGTGCTGGCGGGTTAAGTGTGGCTGAATGCAGGCTGGCTTGGTGAGGCTGGGCAGTGGACCGCTGGAGCTGAATGGAGGATCACTTGAGAACAAAAGACGAGAGACAAAGTACAAAGCAAAAACTCACTAGAGAAAACACGAGAGAGTAAAGTGGCCAAAGTACCACTCTGAAAGTAGATAATTGTCTGGCACTGGAGCACAGGTGCAGCGAAGCTTGAACCAGTGCCTAAGCACTGGATAGGCTGCAGGTGTGAGAGTGTGGGAGCATCCTCCTCCAGCCGGCCCCGCCCAGCCTGAAACACAAAAACGCACCCAGCCAAAAACACAAGCACAAATCGACAAGTCCAAATAATCACAGAATAATAAAACCAGTCCATACTCATCACACTGATCTACACCACCTTTGCCTTAAATCAGCTGGGGCAGAACAAAGACAGAATAAAGTAATGTATAGAAAATGGATGGATGGACTAATTCAGGATTAATCTTGTCCCCACAACCCCTTCACATTCAGATTTTAGAGGTTGCCAACCTGCAAAATTGTTTAGTAATTTAACTGTTATGAAGTCAGCAAAGTATTCCAGACCTGCCTTGAACTATGAATTGCTGCTACATTCATCTAAACAATGGAATGTGTAGGAGGGAGCTCTGGCTCCTGTTGCCTGAAAGTCTAGACCCAGGGCAGAATTTTACCCCATAGAAACCTGTACATCACCTGTAACTGCCTGAGCTACTGTCACTGAGCACACAATGACGGTGGATGAACGGAGGGACTCTCACCAGCTCACTGATCTACCAATATGCTCAGGTAATTAGTGCTGAATGACATTTTATTTCATTGTCTACTATGTGTTTCTGTAAAGTTAATTTTGGATTTTTTGACTGAAATGACTGAAACGTGTTCAACCAACACAGAATAGTTGATGGTCTGATATGAAGAATACAAATTTGATGTGGAAAACTTTTATTCTACATAGTTGTACTTACTAAGAAGAGACAAAAGATTAATTTATGGTCTGAATCTGTTTAATACATATATACATATATATATATGTAACAATCATTTAAAATGCCACCTTTCATTCTTTACAAAGCAATTTATAGATAAACAAAAGTTTACAAAAGTAACTTTTTGTCTGTTTGCTTGGTAATAATGTTTATTTAACATGATAAAGTCTTCTTCTGACAGAGTCAGGGGACTACTAATTCTAAAAATACACAGAAACACAAACTCAAGGAATGTATAGCAGCTTAAAACAACACTGAATGCGACAAAACAAGAAAAGTGGGTATGTGCCTCAGGAGGACGTGGACCACATATTCCAGCCTGTCAAAGGTCTTGACTTGATTCTATTCCCTAAGCTATTTCAGCTAAAAAAATAAAAAATCAAAAACACCCATGATGTAGGTATTGGCGGACAGATTCTGATGGTATGTTTATATATTTAGAGAATTAACATGTTACTTACAAGTCGCAAAAAGCCATATTGATGAGTGATTTCAAAAAACTTCCAAATTTGGATATTTAGTTTTGCAGGATTGTTTTTTTCCCACAATTTGCATTGTAAGTGACATTGGAATCTGTGCTGCTTTAGTTACAAAAAGGTCATTATTTGTCTCGTATGTCTTATAACGGCTCTGCTTATTGTGTAGGTTCATTTAATTTAAAACTTAGTAGTGTAAAGTTAGTCATCGAAATATGATGTATATTATATCTGATGACTAAACTTGTATTTCTTTTTGGTCATTTCAGTGTTTCAAGGAAGAAAATCTTTAGCGCCGCTCTCTTGGTGTTGGGAGTTGTTTTTGTGGTTGTTTGTCTCCGGCTATCTCAAGATTTGACCAACTACAAACACATCGTCCTTCAAGCACATGTGAGAAAGTCTGTCAACCAACCATATAAACCATATAAATACTCCTGGCCAAAATGTCGCAGAAACATATCTGCTGCCAGAGTCCCCGGCTTCAACTCACTTCCTCTTCACCTACAAAACTTTCTCTACCATCGCCACTGTCGACATTTTCCCATGATACTGGATGTTCCTGACAAATGTGGAGGAGCTGCTGGATCTGCAGAAGTCTTTCTTCTACTGG